TTCTGCTTTTGAACAAATGGTTGAGATCCCAGAAAAAGAGTAGACTACTATTCAATACTGATTATTGAATTTTTGTTGACATGTTCTTTATTCCCTCCTTAATAACTTCTGCTTTAAGTCAAGAAGATCTAGTTTGGTCCTGGGAGGAGGTGAGTGTAATATCCACCTACTCCACCCCATGAAACCTATATAATTTTATTAACCAATATCACCCCAATAAATTCAATAAAAAATTTTTAAAAAGAAGTTTCAGAAGAAAGAAGTCACTTTTTTTTTCCCCACTTATCTTGTACTCAGAATTTCCTAGAGAATTGAAAGCTTTCCAAATACTTTAAGGAATAGGGAGAATGTCACATTCATGTGCAAAATGTTTTCATAATAAGTCAGCGCCTGAAAGGGTCTTAATTATTTTCTTTTTGGGCTCTTGCTCTTTCACTAAGTCCACATAATTCTTTTTTTCTTTTTAATTTCTTTTTCTTTATTGATTTTAGAGAGAGAGGAAGTGAGAGGGAGAGAGAGAGAGAGAAACATCAATGAGAGAGAACATCGATCAGCCTCCTCCTGCATGCCCCTCACTGGGGATTTGGCTCACAACCTGGGCATGTGCCCTGACCTGAAATCAAACTGTCGACATCTTGGTGCATGGGTCAAGGCTCAACCACTGGGCCACACTGGTTGGGCAAGCCCACGTAATTATTTTTTCTATATTCCTCAGGAATTATCAGTAGAAAGAGAATATTATTACTTTGTATCACTATTATTATTTAACCTCTATTGAGTGTTTATGATGGGTGGAAGTATATTAAATCATTTAACCATAACAAGTCTATTATTACACTCAGTTTTCTACTGAGAAAACAAAAGGGTTAAATAACTTACCCAAGGTCACACACCTAATGATACTTTATACATTGCTTTCGCTGTATACATGCTGTGTTTTTAGCATGTGTGAATCAAGCAATCGTTAAGGTTCTCAGGAGCAGAGGCTGATGCTTCCTTGTTTGTGTTTTCCCACTGAAAATCCAATTCTGAGCCTCTGAGAAGTGCCTGACAAAGCAGAAACAACAGTGAAGACATGAAATCATCAGAGGAAAGTGGATAGTGAGAATTAGACACACAAAAAAGGAATGTTCAGTTTTAAAGAATGTATTCTCTGGCATTTTGGTTGCATTTCTTATAAATGACCAATTAATTTTCACTGATAATCAGAAGACTGCATTTCCTAAATTATTTAAGCAAATGTTTGTTTCTCTTTGAAGTTTCTTTTCCTGGTGAATTCCAGTAAAAATTCACAGTGCTAGTAAAACTACAATTGCCCTATTGCTTTAGTATTTGAGGACTGAGGAGAATTAAATTCAGAATGGTTTTTTTAGTTTAAAAAATAATCTACCCTATTCCAATTATTTGAAGAAAAGTAAAAACATTTTTTTAATAGGAGCTTTTAAATCACTTTTGTAATCTCCTAAGTAAAATTCGAACTCTTTATTATAGAGGTTACTGACTCATTAATAAAAACAGCAGCCATAACTTGGGAATTATAGATAAAAATATCAGTTACTGAGAAACCCCAACCATTACTGAGCCTTCAGTAATGATAGGACATTCAGCAAAACTTCATCCTAATATATTTTTATCTTATGTCCCTAGTCAAGAACTACATTGAAATTCTGGGCTTATATCTAATTTCCTGTAAAAATGTTAAAAATCTTTATCTCCCATAAACTAACTACATTAGAGAAATGTCATATGATGGATGATGTATCATACTCCAAATCCATAACTGACAAGTTCATACTTGCATCTAGCAAATTCAAACAAGAAATAAGGGCAGAATGACTGAAGGTTTTGTTTTCAAATTATGTCATCAACAATATCTGCTTAAAGGCTAGCTTTTCTTTAGGCTAATTTCAGAGACTTGAAAGAACCAGAGTCCAATTTTTTATTGAGGATCTTTGGTTTGCACCATTTTTGTATGTGTTTCTTTATCTTTAAGGGTTAACAGGGGACTTGGCAAAGTGTGAACATGATCAAATGCAACAGCATTCTGCTTTTAATATATATCACAGTATCATTCAATAAAAGTTAACATAATTATTAGTCACTTGAAGGGTGTGGAAGCATAGTCAGTGCTACACATCCTTTTATACTTCTGATTTCTTCCTAGTATTCATCAGAATTAACAAACTTGTTATAAATTTAAAACAAAATGTTTAAAATAGTATGCACATTATTTTGAAGAAATACATGAACTACATGAGCTTTTTTTTTCACCGTGAATAAAAAGGCTGCATCATAAAATATTAAAGCAGACTAGCAGATGACAGACTTTATGACTATTAACTTCAGATTTGTAGCATTTTAGCTTTCTTGAAAAAGAAAGTCAGTTATTAAACCATTTAGGATGCAACAGAAGAATGCACAATTGCTGACTGACATATTTACAGACATATATTTATTTATATGTGCTAAATCTGACACAATTCCTATTCAAATATGTCCTTGTATGTATTTATGTGTGTGTGAGTGTATTTACTATTAACGGTGTATATGCATATATACAGATATGTATATATTTATTTTTAAATTTTTAAATGTATTTTATTCTTTGTGTATATATTTATCAACTATATTTCCAAAGTCTTATTTTTGGAGAATCCAGATTTTAATTTTTTTCCTATTGTAATTTTTGGACCTGCAACTGTATTTCAACAAAGCTATTTAGTTCTGTATTTGTAAGGAAAATTTAAAAGGGGGAATGAGAAACTTCACAAAGTTTTAAAAGATTTCTTCAGAGTCTATAGCCAGAATCACCATGTACATTCATCTCTGTTTTTTTCAATGCCATGCATCATTACAAATGTCAGGTTCATTACTGCGGCATGCTGAAGTGATTGAGTGGAAACTGCCCAGCACCGCACTGTAAAACAATCCATTTCCAAACACATTGCCCTGTACTGTATGCATCAGCTCAATTAGATTTTCTTTGATGTTTAGTGATTGCTCTTTTGTTTGGTCTTGAAGAACTGAAAGCTATGAAATTCAGAGCTCAAATTTGAACACAATATTAAGACAATTCCTATCTGGAATAAATCTCTGTATGTATCTGAGGTAATCTGCTTTTGGGATTGCATTCTGCACTTTTCCTTTACTTCAGTCATGCAATCAGAATGTATAAGTGAATTTGTTGTTATACATCTATTCTAGGGTTTAGGAATCTCATCCTTTACTCATGTTCAAATGGGATCAAATATGGTTTCTTTGGGAAAGGCAACAGCTTAGAACCAACCAATAGCAGCCTCATTATTTTCTATGTGAAGTCATCCCCCTTTGGAAAATCCAATATCGGTCCTCCTCCTGAACCCTGTTGGCTAATGTGTGCAAATGTGTGCAAATGTGTGAGTCCCAAAGCGCAGGTTTTGTGGGCACGAAACCAAAAAAGATGAAGGTGTGAAAGTGTTTGCTTAGGTCTATTAAAACGGATTCCTAGAGAGAACTTGCAAATGACAGATGCTGCAGACTTTCAAAAAGAGCTAGAAAATATAAGCTTGGCATACATGATTAAGAGCTAAAGAGGACACTAATTTTTTAAAAGAAAATAGGGCAAAACTACATAACTCAATGTTAAATTTCTTTTAATAATCGTCTTTTTCTTTTTTGAAGTTTTGGAATTTCTTCAGTACCTGCTTAATTTTTGCAAGACAACGGTTCCTAGATGGCGCTCTAAAGCATTTGCCGGAAGGTGGCGGCAGACGCCCTGATTGCCTAGAGCTGTCCCAGGTACTGAACCTAGTTACGGCGCTTATGAGAAACTCGGGGGCCAGCGACCAGGGATTCCACTAAATTCTTCCTTAAAGATTTGCAGGCTCTGGTAAGAAAAGCAAAAGGCCATATGAAATGCCCGATCTCATTTACAACACATAGACAAAGGATTCCCTTCCCTAAATTTACTCACCACAAAGCTATGGGAGATGACAATATTCTCTGAATTTAGGTCCAGAGGTATGGATGCATGGAACAGACTGACAGATCTCAGAGGGAGGGGTGGGGGGCGGAGAAGAGATTAACAAAATAATAATAATAATAATAATAATCATGTATGCATAGCCCATGAACACATATAATAGTGTGGGGAAGGCCTGGGGTGAGGTGGGGGTTGGGTGGAGGGGGACAAATTGGGGGCATAGGGGGGCATCTGTAATACTGTTAACAATACATTAAAAGACGGGGAAAATGGGATGGGAAGGCATGTGTGTTTGTAGAATACATACCGAATTGAGTGTTGTCATTTGGAGATGCAGCTATTTACCCGTCTTTTGACAGTCCTTTATATTCCTTTCCCTCCAATTCCCCAAGGTTAAAAAAAAAGTCACAGATAACATCCTCCCCAAGGGAGTCAAATGTAAATGATGAATATAGGCGGTTTGTAAAAAGCTAAGACACTACGTTTTCTTCCCATCAATTTACAATAATTTACATACTGACCCAGGGTTCTCCACCCCACTATTCAGACTTCTAGTCGCCTTTGCTTATTTCCTATTGCCACTCTGTGATGCTAACTCTACTTAAGAATTTAATAGAAATATAAAGCAATGGGTAGTTCGCATTTTTCCCTCGAGTTTGGCTGGATGGAAAGCAAAGATATTTGTTGCAGTGTTGGTCTGAACGGAGATCGATGTTGTAAGCGAGTTCTAAGTATGTGGACAAAAGGGGCTTGGACGCTAAGACGCTGAGCTAGAGGGAAAGGAGGGCGGGCACCCAGAGGAAAGAGACACTCAGGGTTGGGGAAATGTTTGGAGGGGAGGGTTAGCGTGGGAGGGAGGGAGCCTGGCTGTCTGAGCGACACACAGAGGGATAAAGAAAGGGTTTGGGAAAGGAGAGAGAGCCTGAAAGGCAAGGCTAGTGGAGTGAAAGGGAGTGGAAGGAGGAGGTTTATGAAAAAGAAGAGAGAAGAGAGTGGGAGAGAGGGAGGGAGAGAAGCAGGGGAGTAGGGTCACAGAATGGGGTTTCAATATTCCAGATACTTTTAGGATTAGAGACTATTTGCTAGTGGGGAGACTCCGGCTCCGGCAGCCAGTTGAGCAGCGGCAAAGTAAAATGAACAGCGAGAGACAGATGTTCCAGTCACCTCTCTGTCGCCCAGAGATCCCGGAGCTGTTCTCCGGCCAACTCGTTTCCCAGCTATAGTTCCTGAGAGCGCTGGACAAAGGGAGCTCACGGAGCGCCTAGAAGCTGCTCCTCGGAGATGCCTTCGCCTGAGCAGTAAGAACTTCCTGCTTGAGTCCCTGCATCCCCTTCCCCCTGAAACTCCCTGGAGAGAGGGGCAGCCAACCCCAGGGGGAGGGGCGAGGGGATCTTAGTGCAGCTCTTTCTCCCCCCTCCTCCTCCCCTTCCGGGCGCGCAGGCATGGATGTGCTCAGCCCTGGACCAGGCAACAACACCACGTCCTCCGAAGTTCCCTTCGGGACAAACGGCAACGCTACTGGCATCTCCGACGTGACCTTCAGCTACCAAGTGGTCACCTCTCTGCTGCTGGGTACCCTTATCTTCTGTGCGGTGCTGGGCAACGCATGTGTAGTGGCCGCCATTGCCCTGGAGCGCTCCCTGCAGAACGTGGCCAACTATCTCATCGGCTCCCTGGCAGTCACCGACCTCATGGTGTCAGTGCTGGTGCTGCCCATGGCTGCGTTGTACCAGGTGCTCAACAAGTGGACGCTGGGACAGGTCACCTGTGACCTGTTCATTGCCCTCGACGTGTTGTGCTGCACCTCGTCCATCCTGCACCTGTGCGCCATCGCGCTGGACAGGTACTGGGCCATCACAGACCCCATCGACTACGTGAACAAGAGGACGCCCAGGCGCGCCGCTGCGCTCATCTCGCTCACTTGGCTTATTGGCTTCCTCATCTCCATCCCGCCCATGCTGGGCTGGCGCACCCCCGAAGACCGCTCGGACCCCGACGCGTGTACCATCAGCAAGGACCACGGCTACACTATCTATTCCACCTTCGGCGCTTTCTACATCCCGCTGCTACTCATGCTAGTTCTCTATGGGCGCATCTTCCGCGCAGCGCGCTTCCGCATCCGCAAGACAGTCAAGAAGGTGGAGAAGAAGAGAGCGGACACCCGCCTTGTGGCGTCGCCAGCCCCGCAGCCCAAGAAGAGCCTAAATGGAGAGCCAGGGAGCAGAGAATGGAGGCAGGGCCCGGAGAATAAAGCAGGGGGCATTCAGTGCGCCAATGGAGCGGTGAGACAGGGCGACGACGGCGCAGCTCTGGAGGTGATCGAAGTGCATCGGCTGGGCAACTCCAAAGAGCACCTGCCGCTGCCAAGCGAAGCGGGTGCTATCCCCTGTGCTCCCACCTCCTTCGAGAAGAAAAATGAGCGCAATGCTGAGGCAAAGCGCAAAATGGCTCTGGCCCGAGAGAGGAAGACGGTAAAAACGCTGGGCATCATTATGGGCACCTTCATCCTCTGCTGGCTGCCCTTCTTCATCGTGGCCCTGGTCTTGCCCTTCTGCGCGAACAGCTGTCACATGCCAACCCTGTTGGGCGCCATAATCAACTGGCTGGGCTACTCCAACTCTCTGCTTAACCCTGTTATTTACGCCTACTTCAACAAGGACTTCCAAAACGCCTTTAAGAAGATCATCAAATGCAAGTTCTGCCGCGGATGATGAAGGAGGAGCAGCCGACGAGTAGGCCCACTTTATCCACGCCGCCTCCCGCAACCCTCTGGAATCAACAATATAACTTGCTGCTTTTCCTCTGGCTTTCTCAGCTGCTCCGCCTGCTGCTTCCAGACCTCATCCCTCCCTCCCCTTCTCGGAGGGAGGGCGCTCTGTGCAAAGCGGCTGTAGCGGCGGGGCAGGAGGACGCGGGAAACTTCCCGGGTTTGTAAGAAGCAGCCTTGGCTCTGACTTTGGCCTCGGAATTAGTTTTGTCCCAGCAATCGCCTCCTCCCTCTCATGCTCCCCAAATTTTCGCGGCGGAACTTTAAGATTCAGCCGTTCAGGGCAAAAAATCCACGCAGAAAAATAAACTGTACATCCAGCCGCCTTGACTACTAATGGCTCCCACCTGCTCGCCCTGTTAGCATTTGTACTTAAGTTTCAGGTCTTCGCGCAGTTCCTAACCTCGCTCATTTCCTGGCTCTCTAGTCCTGTAAACGTTCACTTTTTTTTTTTTTTCGATCTCATCCCTGCTTTCATTTCCCAGTTTCCTTTTAAGCCCGAGTTAGTCCCTCTGCACTATTTACTAGTCGGGAAAGGCGGGAGGGTGTGCTTTTTCCCCGTGGCTCTGGTGTCCCCGGGAATCCCCACTCTCCCTGTAAACTCCCACAATAATATTCCCGAGGACGGCCCATGCTTTGTTTTCTTCCTTTGAAAACAAGTGGCCAGAAGCTGTCTCTTGGAGTGGACTTGTAAGTACACGGCTGGGCCAATGGGAGAGTGCGGAACGATTTCCCCGCGCCTGCCTTGGCGTCGGCACTCACCAAAGAAACTGACACTCAGTGGGGAGGGAGAGCGGACTTCTGTTTGGGGGCTGGCTCGTCTACACGTGCCAACTTCGCCACTTACTGACAGCGGGAGGCGACCGCCTGCCACGGCGTGCGCGCCGGCGACGCCCAGCGCCTGCGGACCGGGGCGCACTCGCGCGCCGCGGACTGATCCGGACGGGGACCATTGCCCCGCCTACGCCCCGGGACGCGCGGAGGCGTCGCTACACCCCTGTGAGGGTTGCGACACCGGCGGGAGCTGGGTCCTTCTGGGTCCTGGTGCCAGAAAGACTGGGAAGGCCCCAGGGTCGGTGTTGTCCGGCATCAAAGAAGGAGGGCGCCTTAGTGTGCGGGCTCGAACTCCAGCTGGCACTCCCCGAGGCACGAGGCATCTGAAGTGGGTAATTTTACCCAGGGAATGCAGACTCTTTCCTCTCAATCACCCCCTCGACCCCTTCGGATAGGGGACGAGCTCTGTGTAGCGCTTCCTAACGCTACACAGGATTTGTTCTGCAGGACGTCCAGGACGAAGAGTTACCAGGACCTTGGCTTCCAAACAGAGAGTCTGAGCTTTCCATAGAACGAGGCCTGGGAGGTTTAGCACTGTCTGCCATCTCAGAGGCGGTTATCTCAAATAATGGGGCCCTAAGGGCCTAGTTAGGGGTGCCCTTCCCTAAGAGGCTTGTACTGGGTTACGTTTGCTCCCCGACCTGACTGATTTTCACCACAGGTCTACGGGAAACCGGCTTCTAGCCCTTGGAATTTGTGGACACTTCAACCCTCCCCCCCCCCCCCCCCCCATGTTATTCTTTCAGCCTTGCCACTCCTGCTGAGAAAGTGGTTAAAATCCTTACTGACTCCGGACCGGAAGTTTTTTTTGTTTGTTTTTTTTTTTTGGTGCTCCGTTTGAATGTAAGTTTCCATCCTCGTGAGCTGACTGGGATCAAGAAGTTTGTTACAGTTAGATCTAGCCTCTAATTTTTTACCATTTATTATTATTATTGAGAGTATTACGGATGTCCCCTATTTTTTCCCCTTTGCCCCCCTCCACGGCTCCTGTCCCACCTCAGGCCTTCACCTCACTATTGTCAGTGTCCATGGACCATACATCTATGCAAATGTGCATATACATTTTTGGTTAATCTCTTCCTGTGTCCCTTCCTTCCCCCTGCACTCAGAAACTATCAGTCTGTTCATGCTTCCATGTCTCTGACCTATTTTCATCAGTTTATTTTGTTAATTAGATTCCGCATATAAGTGAGATAATTTGTCTTTCTCTGACTGGCTTATTTTGCTTAGCACAATAATCTCCAGGTCCACCCAAGCAGTATTAAAGTAAGAGATCCTTCTCTTTTACAGCTGCCTACTATTCCATTGTGTAAATGTACCACATCTTTTGATGATTGCTGGTTTCATTTTTCAGCAATTGCACAAAGTTATTTATTCTTATTCCCCTCTCCCTAGTGTATACCTTTTGAATATTTGCCTCCTTATTTTGAGAACTGTGTTGCAAAAGTTGCTAATGTAAAGTTCACTTGTGTTTAAATTAAGAAGGTGAAAAGACAGCTCTATCACTTGAAGCCATTTTATTGTTTAACTAAACAAAGCCTCCACTTGTTACCTTTTTCTGTAACCTAAGCTGAAAGTAGGCATCATATCTGGTTAAAACAGAGACAGTATAAGAACTCTGGGAACTCAGTGGATGGTCTGTCTATGCATATGTAATGCTCATAAGGGGCTATGGTGGAGAAAATAAGGTAGACTCCTCCGCCCCCAACAATTATTCATTCAAAAATTCAGTTCTTTTTCTAACAATAATTTAAGTAGAGCTATATGAAAATAACTTTTCTGTATGTCTTCCTAAATCTTTAGACCAAATTCTATACTTAAAATAATTCAAGTCCAAAATTTGCTTCTCCAAATTATGCCTTGGCCAGCAAGTATTACATTTGAAGTTTTGAGACTTCCAATTATTTGTGTCTCTCACAGAAACTGTATGGCAATAGATTTTGGACATTTGTTCTTCCTGGTTTGAAGGATTTACAGAAGAACAGGGAAGGAGCATCCAATTGGACTATAATTGCCAAGGCAATAGAGAAGTTAGGAATATGTGCAAAAGAGCTGCATAGCAGAAAAGAGAGTCTGATGTAATGTTTTGTTTTGGGGGTTTTTTGAAGTATTTAAGTCAAGGTCAAGTATACTTGCATTAAAATTGGCATTCACTCTTCCCTGTGATAATAAAGGACTTTAATAATGGTAATGCTACAATAAACTGATACCGGTAACACATGCATCTTTATTTTAATCAGACTCACTGTCCCTTGTATTTATTTACATAATTTTTAAATTGAAGTCAAATAATACAGTTATCAGGAGAAGATCCTGCTATACAGATCAGGCATCTGACAGAGAAATTTTGTGTTTAGCACTGACATTCATTCCAGATTTCTCTTTTTAAAAAATCCTGTCTCTGGAAAGAGAAGGTCGCATCTCATTGGTTAGCCATGAAACCATGCATTGTCCCTGACTGACACTGACAGATAAGTTTTAGGCATCTAATTAACATGAAGAGGTCAGGGTCAAGCAGAGGAGAAATGTAGCCTCTGGCAAAAGCAACAAAGGCCCACCCTACCTTTTCTAAGTAGTGGGTAGTACTGAGGCCTTTCCTTTGTCTTCCTCAAAATGTCCAGCTAGAAGAAAATGGCTTCCTTAGGATTCAAAAAAAGAAACTGTTTGGAGTTTGTCACTCAGTTAAAGGTGGAGAGGCATTTTCCCTTCTAGGTGGGTCTCATTTGATAGTGAGGTTTAATATGTAAGACCTATTACTGTGTTAAAATTAATTCTTATGCTGGCTCTCTTTTCCCCTACTGGAATCATCATTAACGCCTCTTGTTTCCCATGCAATATTTGCTAATTCTGCTGCTTTCTGGTATCAGATGGATGGTTGCAAGACAAGGTGAACTCAGGTAAACCCCAAAGGGGGAAACAAAAGTTAGGGATATTATGGGCACAGGAGAGAGCACTATGAAGCTACCTGTCTAGTCCAGGCAATGTGTATATATATATATATTTAACAAACAAACAAACAAAAAATTGGTATAGGCTATAAAAAAAGTATTTATGTGAGCAAAGGATTGCAATCTGAGAGAAGCAGATTCAGGTAACAACCCAAACTGTGCCCTGGAGAGAACAAGGAAAGGCAAGATTTATAAAGGCCAACTGCACAAAATGTAATTCTTGCATGCAAATGAAGGCTTGCTGCCTATGGGATTAGTTCCAGTCTGCACATGAGGGAGCTGAAACTTATAAGGAAGGAAGTAAAGTCCAGGTATGTCCATGTAGAGGTCGTTATTCCAGGATGTTTATTTATGGTGCCAGCATGTTTTGAGCTGAGTTTAGCAACAGGTTTAGCAATAGGGTTTTTAGAAATGAGACACAAGATGAGCAGACTGCTTAGGCCTCACTTCCGTAATAGCCTCCTTACTCTAATTTAAGTGATGCTATTTCACTTTATTTTCTCCATTATTAGTGTCTTCCAATAATGAAAAGTAAAGGCAGAGGAATTGGGAGAATAAGAACTTTCTTGAGTTTACCATTTGAAAAGTGCTGCATAAATGCACCCCTAACATCGCCTGAAATGATCATTGGCACATTGTCTTTTACATTCTGCCCGCCCCCTTCTTGGCTTGCATCTCTTTCTCCAAGGGAAAATCAGTGTTTGGCTTTCTACAGGCCTCCTGAATCTCTGTCAATACTCCAATAAAGAGAAAGACTTATTATCATTCACTTCCACTGTGACTAACAAGCCCAGATAATCAATTAGCAACCATCACATGTCAGGCTCTGTTGAATAGTGTTGAAATATGGGACTATGAATTATTATAAGATGCTCTTGTCACCTTGAAGGAATTTTCAACCTACTTAGTATACCAGAACAAACTACTAAGGCTAAGAAAACATGAATGGCAAAATATATAACTATCATCTAAATAGGAAAAATCAAAGAAGTTTGGCACTATAAGAATTCATAGGACAAAGATCACCGTGGGTTGTGGATGGATAGGAAAGATTGGGTAGACAGAGCTGTGTGGATCACCCAGAACTGAACTCTGGGAACATAGTAGGGTATGAAGCAGGCTTTCTTTATGAGGTGCCCAAGACAGACGGATCCATTCTTCCTGTCATATGGGGGCCTGGGATGAAATTTTGTCTGGAGTGCTAGACTGCTGGTAGCCTGGGTTGATTATGGATGTG